CGAAAGTTTTTAAGGTGGTTGAGGTTGTTTCTGAAAATGGTGTTTCTTCACTTTAACCCTCACGGTCCTGTGCCTGGGTCACCGAAGACCCGTCGATGAACACAGTTCAAGTATCGTTTTATGTATATTACAGGATTTGTCACATCTTGTTACAGGTCACGATTGATCCCATCGTCGGCTACGACGAATTATACTCCGAAGATTGATGTATAATACGTTGACTTTCGGTTGACCTGACCGAGGCCTTCCATGAAATTATCTTCACGAAATTCAGTTCGCACAATAATTTTAAAGGTTATTAACAGATAAGATGATTAAATGGGGTTCAATCTGTGTTTTTATTTGGCCGCTTAAAATATGACGTCCCCTCTAAGAGAATATTGATGGCTTTGAGGTATCAGAACATAAAACGTTGAAAAACTTTTTTTTATCATAGTACTTGCCTCGTCGAAACGAATATTCTTTTCTCCACACGTTTCCTGTTATCACTAAAAAGGAGCGAAGATGACATTTGAACGTTCTAATCTTGGCTGACTCACCCTGCACATTTGTCACAGATTCCTTTACGATGATATTCATTCCACTGTCCCGAAGAAAACTCGTAGAATATTATTATCAGAGATACGATTTCCTTATCTTTTTGGACTATTTTAAACTACCAGGTGTACCGATAAGTAGCACGCCATTTTTTCTTAATTATAAGGCGATATACATTACCAGTCAAAAAGTTCAGTTCATGATTGATGGAACAGTAACTCATTATTCTGTTATGATGTAATAAAAGTTACGTATATAAATCATTTCCAATCAATTTTTGCACATTATTTTCATCAAATCTTTGTAGAATAATATTTTTCTCTTTCTTTAATTATCAAACCTGGTCCCACACTTTTGGCTGGTAGTTATCTTGAACTGAAAATATCTTTTCCATTCTTCGTTAAGACAAAATGTTGTGGCTCATTCGAAATTCAGTATCAATATAAACGAAAGTGTAGATTTTAATAGAAACGAATATCGATTTCGTTACAAAATAATCGATTACTCATTGGTACACCTAATATTAACTATCTTGTACAAAACATCGGATATACACTCGAAACGCGTTCAAATTCGGTCCATCCTGGATTTCCATTAATTCTCAATCGAATTTCTAGTTACACTAGTCTGTCCAAGAACTCACGTATTCATTTTATTGTCTGTTTTACGTTGCCTCGCAACAGTTTCATTCCGTCGGACAGGATTTTTTTCTGCGCGCGCGCGCTCTACCAAATTATTGCTCGTTCCTCTATTCAGTCGCGCGTACAATTTCGCTTTGAGAAGTCGTGCACGGAACGTTTCACGGAATTTTGTGACATTTTATTAAACATCGCTTTTTTTGTTCTACCGCTAGACACTCCGCGCTCCGAATCCGAGTACATTCTGGCCGAATTAAAGGCGCCACTGTTTTGTGCATGCGGTTGTGAAAATCAATGGCTTAAAGTTTGAGCATCCAATATTCATTGGCGCGAGCAAAAAGTGGTTTAATAAACATCAGTTCAGGAAACAGTTCTTAATCTGTCAGATAAGACGCTGATACAAATATTAACACATTATTTGCCGGTTGCTATTTAATGGGTTCAGTAGATCCAATGACCAACAGCCAAGGAACTATTACTAAACAAGTCGTATCACAGTAGCAAATTACATTAATGAAAAATAGCAAAAACTCTGATAGAATAACGTAACAATTTCTTCTATAAACCTGATCCAAGGGTAATATTAATAAGCTTCTTATCTATAAGCACTGAAGAAAAGCCTATTAATAGGATACTGGTCAATAAAGTGTTCAGATTATGGTGTTCAATATATACCAAATTAAATTGTATAACATATTGATACATATAGGGTGCGTCACGAATCAATACCCATGTTTTTTATAGCACTTCCGATCATCCAACAAAAAAATGGTGCAAAGAAAACTTACAATTAGTTAGTACTTAATCAGTTTTAGAAATAGCTAAAAAAATTTCTGTGTAATAAAAAATGAAGACTATCGATCATAATAGTATTAAATCGGACTATATATTCTTAAGTTTACAATATTATAGGTGATGCCAATACGAATTCAATGATATAGTGTACTATGACCTTGTGATGACTGTGTTAAGAAATTGGCACGGATCCATTGCCACAATATTCCCTTCTGTTCAATTATTTCCCTGCTACGATTAGTTTATTATACGAAACCGCTGAGTCACATCTAACGTCGTTACAACAATAGTGAGATAGTAAATATGTTACAAGTATGTATTACGATTTCTAAATTCAAGGTCGTCAGAAGGTCATAGTATACTAGATCATTGAATTCGTATTGACATAACCTACAATACTATTTAAGAATATACAGACACATTTAAAAAAATTGTGGCGACCTTGATTTTTTACTGAAGAGTAATTTTTTAAACTATATTTAAACCTTGTATTTCTTGCCGATTGAATATGTACTAAATACGTTTTGTTCATAATATTTTTTTGTCAGATAATCAAATCAAAAAAATCGTGAGGATTGATTCGTGACTCACCATGTATGTGTATAATACATAATACAGTCTATTGTAAAAAGTATAATAAACCAAAAGTCAACATTAATTCCGACGAAAGCACCGTTCCGATTTCAGTAACTATAAAATCAAAAATTTGAAATTTGTCATTTTCACGGGTTTGGTGGTCCCAGTGTCAAAGCAGCATACATATTTAAATAGTCAATGAACAAATATTGAAATATCATTTAAAAACTCGCAATCAATGTCTCCTTCATACTCTTTTTCAGAAACTTGTACCAATAATCATTCCATCTTTCATGTAGGTACTTACATATATGTATTTCTCTGTTTCATGGTTGTTAACTGGACTAGAAATTTCAACCATTTATTCTAGATTACCTAGTTACCTTCAACGCGTTAAGTTATGTTAGAATCGCACGCGTGATGTGCCGTATAATGTCCCTTTGTCTGGTGGCAGACGCAGCCACGGATTATGCGTGGGGTACCCGCGTAGGCAACTTTACACGCGGACATAACCGGTTCGACGTACGTACGATTACGTCGCATTACACTTTGCGCGTTCGTCACAAGGAAAACGTCATTTTAGTTTTCGTAACTTGTCGAGTGACAAGGTGGAGACGCCCTTACGTGCACGCACCAGACAAATGGCTCTCCTTCGAGAAGCTATAAATCATACACTGAACGTTGATACACACTACTGCTGACAAGCGTTTATCCCGCGGAAATAGAGACAAGATTTCCGAATAATCATGAGTCAATGGGAATAGAACATAGCTCACGATGTGTACTCTGTAGGATTATTAGCATTGAACCTTTGTTTGGCACAATTACTGCTATTCGTCACTCGAGTTCTTAACTGTTCTAACTCCACTTATCAAAAAAATTTAGTTAATCTACGTGCGTCTCATTGGTCCAGAGAATACAAATTCACCATAACATAAAGAAGAATCAACCTAGAAAACAATAAATATTCTTTTAAGTCCTAATTCCGAAACTTTGAGTTTTTTTTTCTTAATGGATGTATCTCCAAATACTAACAACAATTACAACTTTATGTTGATAATAAGATAAGATTTTGTTAAATATTGTAATAAAAATTCCGTTATCTCGTATAGGTGTATGTATTATTCACCAGGAAAATCGATCATTTTCACTTGGAAGTGTTGACCTTTCGACTTTTGAGCCCGAAAGTTCACCATTTTGACCTGAAAATGTTGACCTTTTAATCTATTTCCCGAAGACTCTGCCTTATTGCATAATGAATACACTTTCGAAAGGGTTTACGGTATTCTGTGAGACATTTTGACAGTCGTAACTTAACCAGAATGCAAGTATAAAGCTTGAGTAATAAAAGAACTGTCTAACTGTACGTTTTAAATATTCTATCTGAAGTGGTAACTTGAATGTAATATTTTCGGTGAACAGTTCAGCGACGGACTCGTTTCTCAGTGTTCACGAAGATGATAAAGCGGCAGGTAACCGGATTCGACAGATTGATTAAAATACCGGGGACGTTTACTGCAGGAATTAACCAGCACACGTGTGTTTACCTGGACGTAACCGAATGTCTATCCAAAGGGGGGCTGGTAGCAGAACTCTAGTGTACGTGACATGTATGTGATTGTGCCATTAGTAACTCCGGGCTAGGATCTACCGACTACCACTTGCAGCTAGGAAACTACTATAACTGAGAACGAAGTAATTGAACTTGTAGAAAATTGGATTCCACGTGTACTAACATCGGACACGAGTTATAGGTTACCTTGTGCAATGTACAAAATTTCATGAAGCTTCCGATAAAACGAGGACAGGCCCACCTAGTCGGTTGCACGTGTGCAGAATGGATCGAATTATTATGATCATTCTGATCGGCCCCAAATGCGTCGTATCGATCGAGGCCACGGAAGTAAGAATGCATGGAGAACTACAAGCTGAGAAGAAAAATTCTTAAAGGTTTTATGTGAATGGTCATGCGATTTATACGCTTAAAGCACGCACATAAGTGAAACGTAATACTTGGTGGGCTTCGAATGGAAAGTTAGTTAGAAAGGAATCGAATTTCCAGGTAATTGAGAAACCCTGGACTGAAGTGGGATTTAAATAAAATCGTGGTCCGTTCCTATTCTTCGATTTCAATGAAAGAGTGAATGAAAACTATTTGTCATCAGCATATGGCTCCTTTTAAACTTTTCCTCTTCATGACGAATAGAACACTTTGATGTAAAACGAAAAATTCAACATTAATTCTCAATATTATAAGCTATATTGCGGCAAGATCTTTTTTCACAAATGCCCACCGATCCAGGGACGTTTATTCATTCCCTGAAACGATGACCATTCATTTCTGTACACCCTGTACATTATGTTTCTATTTTCAATAAACTATCTGCACTGTAATCACCTTAACAGGTTCGTTCGGAAAAGACAAAAATAATAACGATAACGAACTAAACTTACCCGTCGGTGTTGTGTGTCAAGAACGATTTGGGCAGGGACAGGGACCGTTGTTGAGGATCCAAGCAGATCTCCACGGGCAGAGAATCCTCCCCTCTGGTCGGAGCGCTTCCAGGCCTGGACAGCATCCCGTCCTTCGGCGGCTCCATTAACGTCTTCAGGGAGCCGATCACTGCGTCCTCCATGGGAGTGGATGCACCGGAACTTTTCGCGTTTCGCGGACTTTTCGTCATCGTACGATCGGAGGTAGTGACCCAAATGTCGCTGCTGGACGAGGACGAGGCGGTCGAAGAGGACGCTGGCTGACCGCTCGGCGATCGGTTCGCGATACCTTTCCCTTGGACCGGCGACACTTTTCTGTCCTTGTTTTCGCAACCCTCGAAACTGCCGGCGTAATCCGGTTTTCTATAAAATCGATGATGCTCCCGTTTCTCGACAGCGTTGTTATTCCCATTGGATCCTCCCTCGAGCGGCGACCAACGATTCGGTTGCTTCAGCACGCTCTTCGGCTGTCTCTCCTGATACTTGTTTTGATCACGACCGGCCCGATTCTTTCGCGATGTCTCGCGTTCCCGATACTCCCGATCGTCCATTCGCTCTAACGAAGCCGGGGACGAGCTGGCGCTTCCTCTGCCCGTGTGCGTCCCCGGGTCCGCGGGGAGCCTCTGATGAGCTGGATAGCTCTGGGACAGCTTCATGAATACCGGCGCCTGGTTGGGGGAATACAAAGTGTCCCTCTGCGAGCAGTGCGGCCAGAAATCACAGGTGCTACTGTTGCAACGTAACTTTGTGTCTGGGCTAAAATCCTGATTCGACGACGTGGCGTTCGCGTTCGGGGTCGTTGCGCCCCTTTGAAGAGTCTTCGGACGTCTGGACTGCTGCTGCGATTGCTGCTGCTGTTGTTGTTGTTGTTGTTGCTGCTGCTGTGGTTGTTGTTGCGATGGTTGTTGCATCGATGAGCCAGCCGATTTCGAGGATTGCTGCTGTGACTGTTGCTTCGATGATATGAAGTAAACGTCGTAAGTGTTCGGATTGTTTCGTCTCTGCTCCTGACTATCATCCCGACGCTCGAAACGGCTCGAAAGGAGATTCCGAACCACCGCGCGACTTCTTGTCCCGTAAAGAAACTCGGTTACCGCCTCCGTCTCGCGGATCAGCTCTTCATTTAACGCGTCCTCGGTTGACTGCGCTTTCCCTAAGAAACACGAATCCGCGAATCAACTGTTTTGTTACGAAAAGCTATTTATAGGACGGAAATACGACGCACGGATTAGCGGCACGAGGTGATCTCTCGTTGCTTCGTGGTATTTATTTTCTACTACTCCCTTACGTCTTGCGAGTTCAAAATAATCCAATGACGTACCTGCATCTATCTGTACCTGAAGAACATTTAAATTCGACCGACTCGTGTCTTTTCGAGAGGATTGTATATGATATTGGAAAATAAAAAATTATAATTACGCGTTGTAAGTGTGAAAAGGTGTAATAAAGACGCGGATAATATGGAGTATCACGTCATTAGTTGCAGGACTAGTTACCACGGTCGTATAAATCAAGTGTCGTGAATAATGTTTATAAGACTGCGTCAATATATGAAGTAGAACGATTACTAGTCGTTCATTACACAACAATAAACGTTAATCTTCAGACTAGAGAAATTAATCTTGTCATTTCTACCAACGTACTCTATAGGAATAAAGGAGTAAATTTAAATATACTTATTATATAAATGTTACAAAGCATTACGAAATTGCTAAAAGTCTAAAACAAATATTGTTGAAAGACATTACAGTTCGCTTGGCAACGTTTCTGCTACTACAAAGTAATAAAAGTAGCCGCAAATATATCTGGACCCCAGAGCCAAAATGTATTAAATCACACTTTTCAAACTTTAGAAGAGAACAAATTATATGTGCAAAAACCTTCGGAACCGTTCGGTAAAAATTGACCGAGGAACAACCGCTACCTTCGAACTATAGAATGGATATAAGGCAAGTCTCTATATGTAGAAATGGTGAACTTTACATTAATTCCCCTATGTGATGAACTTCAGGCCGTTTCGAAAATACGAACTTAATATCAGTTTTACACTATTATGTACCTATATTAAAAACTAGACGACTTAGAACGAAATAATTTTGACCACCAGAAAGAGTGAAATATTTAATACAGGAAACATGTAAAATGTCATTTTTTTTAAACTGGACTTAATACACTCTGGTTCGAAATTTTTACGAACCATTACATTTCCCTCAAACAGACCGAGTGTCCTAATACTTATTAGCGATAGTATCACTGACGAACACACACACACACACACACACAGAGAGAGAAACAGAGAGAATGTAGTACGTACGGTTCTGAAGCGTGTGACGTTTCCTATCGCCTCCCCGATCATTGGAAATTTTAACAACGACTCTATGGGGCTCGTTAGTCTCCCTCGAGTGGTCCCTGCTCGGCGCCGCGGCGCTTGGGGACCTCTTCTCCGGTAATTGAAGACTTCTGGATCTTCTTACCCGCGACTGATGAGATTCCGGGGACACTTGCGTCGTCCTCGCGCTTTGATGTTGCCTCGCGGCGTTTCCACGTCTAAAAGGATTCGGGGTCGGTGATCTACCCTGCCTCTCGGCGCTGCTCGACGTGGAGGACGAGGACGACGGCGAATTGAACGACAACTGTTTCCCGGATTCCGAGGATCCGGGCGATCTCCTCAATCCCTGTTGGCTTCTGTGATGACGGCTCTGTCTGTTCGGCGAGATTCGCTCGCCGTTCGCTCGTATCGACTCGTTCGACGAGTTCAACGCGATGATCGACGACGAGACCAGACTGAGATTCAAGGACGAGCTAGGATTATCGTCTTCGTCCCCGTCGTCGTATCCTTCCACCGATGAGTCCGTGTTCTCGGATAGTCTGGGCATGGTGGATCTCTGAACGCAGCTGTCGAGACTACGGAAGCCCAACGAGGACGACGAGGAACTCGAGGATTCCATGTACCGTTGAACAAACTGCGTCCTCCTTGACGAAGATGGATCCTCTAACGATTTAGCTTGTGCCATTCGATACTGTTGTTGCTGTTGCTGCTGCTGTTGTTGCTGTTGCTGCTGCTGTTGAGTACCAGTGTTCTGTCTCCGTGGCCTAGACGGGGTGCTCGATGACTTCCGGGATGAAGACGGCAACGAGCTCCAGTTCACTTGGTGAGGAGGCGAGGGAGGTGGACTGATGATGTCGCTGTCCACGATGGCGTTAGATCGTGGCAAAAACGGCGCCTTCCCGTAGTTGCCACGTCCGGAGGAGTGTTTCACGGTAGATTTTTTGCCAACCACGTCCTGGAAAGCTGGCGGTGGCGATATAATCGGCGTGATCGACGGCGGCGAATAGGATTCTGGGATACTGTGGGGCGACGTGCAAGCGCTGCTCCCTACTGAATCGAAGTCTTGGCCGTGCAGAGCCAGATAGTCCGGACGTTGACTGTCCATTCTTCCGAACTCCTGAGGACATTTTCCTGGCTCGCTGTTGCAATGATAGTCCGCCAACTTCACGGTGGCTCGTCGTGGTAACGGTAACGTACCAGTGGTCGCAGTGACTAAACTGCTCTCGTAGTTTATCCGTCTGTTCTCGTCCAGGGATCTTTGCTGGACTTGAACCCAACCGGATCGACCCAAATAGACGCCATCGACCTCCCGGTCGCACCATCTGACCGGCGATAATTCGCGGCTGCAGTCGCCGCTGATGAAAAGTTCGCCGGATGTGCCGCTGTTACCGGACAGGAACGAATTCGAGGATTCTCGACGGCGGGTGGAGCTCGTCACCTGTTCGCAACGTTCATTGATAGGAATATAGGTCTTTGGAACCAGTTTCGGATAGAGCCTTCAAACTTTTTTAACGAGAACCCACGGAATTTATTCGACTCTTTGGCGTTTGCCGAGGGGAATCCGACTTGTTAGGAGGGACGAGAATAGAAAACTTTTATCGACGTCGACGTTGCCCCGAATCCGAAACGTGGTCACGTACAATGTGTCTTCGGATTTAATGGAAGTCGAACATTTTGACGCGTCCGCGATTTTAACAATTTCGAGGTGGAATTACACGCGATACCAATCAGTTTCACGGAATCGTTTTGTTTTTCTTTGAATGTTTTATACTTGCCTGTCCATGGCTGTCCTGTCGATGTTGCTTTAAACTCGAGGTCGAGGATATCGATGCCGTCCCGTCATGGCGTTTTAACGATGGAATCGATGTCCCACGTGTGTACGAGCCTCGCCCGTTGCCGCTTGATTTTCCTCTGCCACTACTTTGGCTTTTATTGCTGCCGACACTGTACGCGGATCCCTGGGAGCCCACTTCCCACGGGTCGGAAGTGCCCCGCAAATGCAGAACCGAGACGTTTGGTCCTCTGTAAAAAGTTGTTTATTTTCGTGCTGGGACAGATTAACCGTGAAAACACACACACGTGATAGGAATAAACGAACGAGGGAAAGAACATTCGATTTATGTTGAATATCGAAATCGTATGACATTAGTAAGTATTTATGCACAGTACTTTAATGCGCCAAGACACGCAAAAATTATAATGTTATCTTCGTTTGAAAATATAGCACCATCCTCAGAGGATCACGTATTTATATCTAAAATATTATTGTAAACACTAAAATGTAAAGAAATAATTTACAAAAAGTACTCAATAAACCCTGAATCAAAATGAAATGGTTTACCAGTGAACATAGTAGAATGCTCTTTGTAATTTAGGTCATACAGTAAATCCTTGATGAGTGTTCGAGGGCTCCTCGGCACTGAACATTAAATATTTAATAAATTAATGGATACATGTCATGAAACAAATATCATTGGCTTCAGAATTCCAAACTCTATCACTGTAGTAAACCTCATTACAAAATCAGCGTTATACCTAGGGGCCTCTCCTTCTCAGTGCCAAGGAGCCTTTGAACACTCATCGAGGATTTCCTGTAGAAGGCACTATGGTGTTGCATCGTAGCCTCAATTGTAGCTATACCAACGTTCCTTTCAGTTTTCATTCAGTTGACCATTCAATTTTCCCAAAAAAAAACACATAAAAGAATGGTATTACATGCAGAAATGATTCTGCACTTTCGCTTTCTACGTGGAAATTCTGATCGGACAAGAGGAAACGGGCGAAAGCATACAACGGGATGCATTGATTCGCGAATAGTTGGAGTTTACCCTCAAGGAAACTACATTCACAGATCGAAGTGAATATAATACATGCGCGTATCGGTTGAACTCGATTTGAGGAGGTTGTTACACCGTTGGCAACCTGGATGGCACCGCTTTTGCTCCCCTCGCGCGGTACAATCTTTCTCTCCCTCCGTATAAATATTCATCCGGACTACGTGGCTGGGCGATATAGATACCGCGAGATAAAAGAGGAAGCAAATAAAGATGTCACGACGAGGGAGGAGGGCGAAAAGAGTGTTAGAGAACGGGGACGTTGCATCCATCTTGCTTCGAAATGTCTACAGAGACAGGAGAGCGACCTTTTCCTCCCCCGATACGAAAACCACCGCCGCGATATCACGGTTTTTCTCTCTCAGCGCATGCATCTGGTAAATGCCGGTAAAGTACGAATCACGGCGAAACGGATTCGTCGACGTGCTAGATTTTGGCAGAAATAAACCTGCTTCACGTCTGTTCCATCGGAGCATCTACGTTTGAATATGTTGTACCTTGGATACACGTTTGAACCGTGATTGAACGTATACGGATACGGTCTGATTTTTGATGAAACGCGTGTGTAAATGCAAAACTGATAAAGTGGACGTGTATCAGTCAGTAATTAAAATATGTGAATCTAAGAAATTAGAGTTTTGTAAATTTCCATTGCATTTGTAACAATGCTCAGCACTTTAATTCCACCAAATGAAGGAGACAGAGGACAAATAATTTCTTATTTTATCGATAAATTTTTAAATGCACATTCAAATCTGAACTATACAAGACCAGAAAAACCTATTATATATATATACACACAGACATAAAAAAATACATGATACTAATATTCTATTTCACAAATTAAAATAACCATGTGGCAACAGTGGGAACGAAAGGGTTAAGCGTTGGTGGTTTTTTATAGATAGACTAACTCCAAAAATTGGTTGGCTGTATAGAAAATATACATTGATTTGCTTTGTACATATGATAATAAGTTTCAAGATTGTTACTGCGATTTTATACGGAGATATTTTAACTGCTTCTAAATCCATACAAATAACAAATTATAATATGTACTTGTACAATTCCGGCTAACAAGGATTAACTTTGGAAAAAAACACACGAAGCTTACGTCCAAAGCAGTGATCGATATTAAAAGTGATTTCAAAGCTATTTACGTAGATCGATGAAAATGAAACGCACTGGAAGGAAAACAGGCTCTCACGCAAGAAATTTAACGTGCGCCTGCTCGAGTGCAAAAGCATTAATCTTATTCGAAGACAAGCCCGTGCCACGGAACGTTCTGTGCGTTCTGCAAAAACCCGTGAACGGAATACAAATTTCTCGTACGCGTTCCGCGCGTCGAATTGGGTCGACGGGAGAGATTCTCGAAATGAAAATCTGTTCGGTGTCTGGCGAATGAATTTCAGCCGTGACAACGTGACGGAGCTCGACACTTCAGTAATTTATGGACCTACCTCCGCCGTTTATCATTAATGAATCTCGGTAAATGTAGTTGGACGGAACGCGCTGGAAGGGAAAGAAGACACCGGGGTGCAAGAATAACCTTTTGTCATAATGTATAGTAATGATTCATGAAAGAAGTACCTAGCAGCCAGGAAAATGGAATTGTTGGCAAGATTCGAAACGCGCGGAGAAACGGCTGAAACGTTGGAATAAATGACATTCCAATCTCGCAAATGACTCGATTTGTGTTAAGATTGGACGGTTTTGGGGAAAGATTTAATACGAGAAAAAATTGACAATTACAAAATTCCTGGACTTTCCTCCGAATTTGTTTTTTACTGAAGAAATTTTAAACGTTTGACTTAACGAATAACTATATAATGTAATAGAGGCTTTAATAAAATTGACTGTTATTTTACTTAATTTCATTTGAAAAGTTACCAGTAAGTAAAGTCTTGTAAAGGTCTTTTATTAGGAATTAAATTGATTAAATGAGTTAAGCTTTAATAGGTCACTATTATTTGCAGCAGTCTATTCAGTTCGATCGAATCATTGAATTTTAATTAAAGACAAATATAATTGTAATGTACAGGTAAAGCTGATATCCAGGGGATTTTTTAAAATATTAATTATGCTCAATTCGGTATCAAGACTCGAACGTTGGCCTGGAATGGACCATTTTATTTTCAGCTGGATAAGAAGATCGAATCGGAGACTAACTTCCGTCGACCCCCGGAGCTATTTGCATCCAGACGTGGTTGGACGTATACCTACCTATCCCTTGAGTACATTATCAAATAATTTATTTCCGTTTAGCTGTCACAGGCTAATGAAAACACTATTTCTGGACGATCCGATCGGTAGATACGGACACACAGGTCCGTTCTAGATCAATTATATTTACCTTTTAACGGACATCTCGTCTGTGGGGTGGTTGGCTGGCTTCGCTTGATTTTCACAGTTGAATTAAAATCACTCTTCCGCGCTAAATTAGACGCCGCGTGTCACGTCGAATGTCACGTCGTTACCGTAGATCGATGCGCTGTCATTTTGCGACCGCGTTAAAACTCACATTCACTCGGTTCCCTACAATTTCCACTCGGCCAACGAATTAGGTAACGCTATTAATTTCACGTCGAGAGACCCGATTCGTCATATGGAAGATTGGTTCTTAAAATGGGCAATTCTTCTGCACGAAAGAAAATACGTCAGGTTGAGTGACAGGCTCGTTTCGGTGCTTATAATAAAACCGGCGAATGTAATCATCGCGAAAAAGAAATAATGACTCGATGTAGATGTCGTCGATAATTATTGGACGCGAAGGGAGCTAAGAACAGACTCGTTAATCGGGTCGTCGTCGAATGCTCGAATGTTTGACACACTTTTCAAAACAGATTTTGTCGAAAATGAAATATCATCGCATACTTTTTGTCGTATTGTATCATACACATACAACTTCGATTGTATTAACTCAGAAAACCCTTTAATCTACTTTTAGATAGATTTTGTTTTCGAAGTTTTTTCTTGTTACAGAATATTAAGTATATCCATCTAGAGAATAATCATTTGATAGGACAAAATCCAATTAATTGGATAGACGCTATGAAATCTTCCAGTTGAAGTAGTGTAATTTCTTCACAAGTCTGATAGAACGTAATGAAAATGGACTTTATCAAACGATATTTCCTTCGTCCATTAAAAAGGTAACGAAGACACTGTTTTTCGAAACACTACAAACTTTCCGAACGGCTCAATATCTTGCAATACTAATGTCTGTTCAGAGTGCGCAGAATAAAAGAAAACATTCACGATTATTATCATTACAGAAACTAATTCACGGTATAGAATTTTTCTCCTCGATCCATCGACATCAACCATCAAGGACAACAATTCTCTCCCCTCAGAGACGCGCCTATTACTCAACCTGATATATTCGAAAGAAATCAAGTCGATTGCTTTTTCATGATCCCCGCGAGCGCACTAAAAATCATCCAAAGGGAACTGAACTAACCGTATACGGGTACGGAAAAGAGTTCGAGGAACTATCCCGTGCTCCCTTCCGTCTTTTTCCCCCTCGTCCCGTTGAATTTTGCATTCGAGTGTGTAAACAAGTTACGCTCCGCGGGGAAGCTCCGAGATCGTTGCAGGAAGCGTAGCCCCCGTCGCCTTTCATTGAGACTTCATGAAAGTTACATCGCATGTAACCGTCCACGAAGACGGCAAAAAGTAAACACACCGGCGAAGAAAGAGAGAGAAAGAGAAAGAGCAGAGACGATAAACCCTGCAACGATCGAATTAATTTTCTTTTTACCGCGATCGATATCAACCATGCCCACAGTATTAATCCCATGAATCGTCGGAATCGATCTTTTCTACGACATCGATATCCCATGAAACGAATAAATATAGTGTATGTGTCTCGTCACGAGGTTCCGTACGATTTCGCTGTTACTATTTGTCTAGGTCCCGACGTGTCCTTTTTTGGGCCTGAGCCGCGTCGCGTCGTCGAACAACCGGACAGTGAACTTCTGAAGCCCACGTAAAAAATTCAAGAGAGCCCGACCACGACGAACAGAATTCCATGTTTCACAAAAACATCGTCCATCGCGTCCTTCCAGCTTTAATAATCCGTTAAAAAACCTCCGTTACCCATGAATGTCTGTCAGAAGTATTCTTCAACAACACAATAAAAAAAAAAGATGCACACACTGTTTAACAACAACACGAACGTAGTTGTCACCGTTAACGAGAATTTCTCGTAAGTCAGGTTTAACACTATTCCAACAGGGAAACAGAACCAGCACAGAAGACACACATACACAGACACATGTAAAAGTAACAATACGTACGCGCGTAGAGGCATGTATAATTAAAAATCTTCTATACGGGATGCAAATCGCGGGTAAGAGGGACTCGTTAAAACCGTGTTACGTGGTCCACAGGGAGAAAAAACGGGGAGGGGGGGGGGGATTCTCAGCTTGGTTTTTACCACGGTGAAAAGCGTGGTGAACGAAGGTGTAACTGTGGGAGACTGAAGAAGAAGGAAGAAAAATAAAAACAAAAGAATCAGGGGTTCACGCGCGTTACCTGTCGCCGCGGGATCCGGTGCCCGTGTTCGCGATGTCGGTTGAATCCGCGGCTGCCGGACTGACTCTACGTGGCGGCAGGGCGGGAGCAGGGGCCTGATTCGAGGACGAGGACGAAACGGTCCCTATCACGCCCACGTTGCCCCCACGTACCCCGTCCTCGGCCGAATGTTGTCTGCCAGAGGACTGCGAGCTCAGCGACAGCCAACGACGACCGCCGGCTCGCGTCGCCAAACTGCCACTGCCTGACCCAGCCGGCTGATGGGGCACACCGCCTCCGCTGTCCAATGACGTGCTCTACGAAACAGAAATTAATAAATAGGGTAAATGTCCGTATTACTGCCAGTGTCCCTAATATTACCATTTTATTGATTTTCCTTGATAAAGATGTAACGTATAAAGAATTGTGTAGAAAAAATTTCATCATTAAGTTGGGACTCTGATTTACATAAGAATACAGAATTACATGTAATTGTGTGTACCTGGTATTTAAACATTAATGTTGAAAAATGAAAGTGCAGTTTGAACGTCAAAAACACGACTACGTAAGTAGAAGGTGATGGCGAAATTATACTGAAAAAAGAGCTGTAATTTTACTATTCAACCTATGTTTATTGAACAAAATGAATTGTTAAAGTATGTAAGAATTGGTTTAATTTTTCAGGTGACAGTTATAGGGACATTGGAATTACTCGCAAATATTAATCAATTCTTTATATTTAATGTATGAAACTATTTTTTTTTTATGAAAGAGATTTTAAATAATATTGTGTTCCAAAATGAGATAATTTTTAGATTAAACAATACATAAAATGATTAAATGAAGTTACGGTACAATCTTAAGATGGCAGTAATTTGGACATCTACCCTATTACCAGAGGTGTCATGATGTTTCGATGACATGGAAAAGAATTTGGGTTTTGATGTAAAGCCACTATAGTAAATCATCGATGGGTGTTCGAAGGCTCTTCGGTACTGAGCGTTCAGACTTCATCCCCACCACTAGAGGAGTTCCCTGTGGAATCAGTCAAGCGCCCAATAGTTCCACGGGGGACTACCTAATGGTGGGGATGTTGTCAAAACATTCAATGCTAAGGAACATTCGAACACTCATCGATGATTTCCTGTATATTGCCTCGTGTTGCGATTAGGATAACGTTCCTTTCGTAACATCCAAGTTCTACTTTAGTAATTGCTGGAGCGATGGCCCCAATATAACGATGGAGTCTACGAAAGGACAAGGTAAAGATGTAATAGGGAAACTTTTGACAAACGTGAGGTGAAGGGGGGCGGACTTGTAAGTAGAGGGAAGAATAGAGGAACAAAAATACCCTATTCTGTTATCTCTTGCTTGGATATGTGCAACGGAATCATCGGTGCTTGGGTCTATTTCAGTAGAATTAGAGCCTTGGAGTACTTTAGATAGAGATTAGAAACTGCTAGGGAATTCCTAATGATAATAGGAATCGTTGAGTCTTTGGTGTAATGGTAACTAAACAGATTGAGCCGGAAACCTTTCATGAGACAACGAACCAAGCATAGATGCAGAATCAGGATGTGCTTGTCCTTAGTATATGTGCTTGAAAATTCTAATCATCGACTAATAAATACACACCCCTTATCTGCGCTTGAATCGCAGGCGTTAGGAAGGAGTGAATATTTTGATTACTAGAAGCTGAAGTTCTCAATCCCATTAGTAGAATTCTGCGTATTCGGACTTTCAGCAGATAAACTGAATCAGATAACTGGAACGTTAATATCATACATACAACAGGAGTTCATATAATTCAAATGACTCTGTTTAATCTGGTAACATACGGTTTAACCAGCGATAATTTCTGTATTCATATGACAGGAGTTACAAGATTAACGGTAAGCCTGATAATAAAAGCTTGATTATAACCACAAGAATAATTCAGTCGGATGAAGGGATTGTTTTCATTCTACCTTTGCAAAGGCTACTAATGGATGAGTAGAGATTAAACCACATTTCCTTTAGTCCACTGTAAAATCAAAATTCAAACAAATTGATCAAAATTAAGAAAGTTATACAGGCACTAATTTGAGAAGATATATTTGTTCCTGAACAAATAAGTTATTAAATATATGGAACGTTGTAAATATTTGAATTATCACATTTTTACTAGCAGGTAATCCTCCACTGTTTAGATTATCTATAGAGGATCTTCACAAGGGAATTGATATTCTCGAGGATCCTTTGACGAACACTCGTAGTGTTTAGAAAACATCGATAGCTGGAAAGGGTGAGAAAAAGGGTGAGAAGAGTGTCGAGTTCGTCACCCCTTGGGTTCCTCGGAGACTCAGCATTCAAAGCTGCTGGCGCCTCGGGTTTCGTGGAGACAATACGCTACAGTCTTTGTAACGAACAAGCTTCAAAATGTATGTAGGCTATTTGTTCAAACTTCACGAAGATGTTGCATTAACCGTTGTACATAACAATGATTAATAAAAGCAGACATTCCGTAGACAATACTAATATGTCTGTTCCTAGAGTCAGACATTGATAATTATATAATAGTGACACTTGAATTGCATTATTAGTTACTTAAGAAATACGTTAAATAGGAAGAAGTCGCTCCCGCAGTTCGTTCACTCTTGTCCACCAACGATAAATGATATTTTAACACTGTGCTTCGTTGCTCGTCTTGGACACACTGATTATGAGTCACAATGGGATCCAGTAATCGATAGTCGCTTAACGCGATAGTCTGAGATGCGGTTGAAGCGACGCCGATGCATTTGACGTTTCTTCTCGAGCGTTTTCAATTATTTCTTTGACGGGCAACTTAATCGATTCGGTATGGAGTGTCGCTTCGAGGTTTCTCATCGATCTCGTTCTTCTATCCCTCTTCTCTATATATGTATATTTTTTTTTCTGTGCCGCTATCTCTCATTTTCTCTTCACTGTTCGACGGACGAAACGTAGGTCGACTCACACGCATTCTTCGACGAGGGAATTTGCGACCCAAGAATCGCTTTCAGGGATTAGTCGCGCAATTTCTTAAGATTCGAAGAAAATCCAGAGGGCTGGCTTTATTACTCTTTTTTTCACCTCGATTAATTGCCGCCTAGTGTCTCCTCGCGACATTCCTCTGCTTCAACCGACCGAACATGGCATGTTTCGAAACGTACGCCGGCTTTTCAGTAGAAAATAACTTATCCTCAACGGTATTGTGTACGTGAGAACACTGAAAATGATCTATTTCTTTGGACCTATCTTTAAAAAATATGATATACTCGAGTTTCATATAAATTGATCTCTGGTCTGGGATTCTATGAACGTCAGCATGGAGTGTTAGTATATACTGAATCATTAACGATTTCAAACGCATACAATGCTTACTAACTCATGATCTATGATTGTCAAAACTAGAAAATTGTAAAGGCTTATATATTTCGTGAACCAGCTGATGTTTCACATCTATTGTGTGGATTATTCTTGAATTAAACGTCAACACTCAATCACCCAAAATATACATATATACATTCTTGAAGTTTAAAATTTGATTTTACTATCACAAGCTATTGGAGAATTTCGGAAGTGTCGGATGACAAATCTCCTTACCCACTAAAGGCCCCAACTGATTGAGTTATGGATCCTCTTTTTGTATATATTACCAGAAAATCTACAATTGTAAAAAATATTCTTCCATACTTGTTGTACCCGTGTGGAAATAAAGTTTTTCATTGAAATTCCAATAGTGTATTTCTCCTTCGTTACGGATCTCCTCGTTACGGAGTACCTTGAATTACTTAAATGATAAACTATTTCCAGAATGGTATCTAAAAGGTTAAGTGGAAGTTATCCTCAGTGCAGCATCAACATCAAAAATCTGTTCTTCTATGCGGGGACAGATTGTTCGGACGATCCTGATCCGTGAGAGTCGATCGCATAAAAGCATTCTCGAACGAGTCGTGGCGAGCCTGACACGAGACGAACTAAGCTCGAATGTATGTATACACCGCGGCAAGAGGCAAGGCGGCCGTTTCTACTTCCAAATACGGAGCAGACGCGAGAGACTGGCTACGCAACTCCTTCGACGAAAGTATTTTTATTTTCGTCCCTGGCGCACATACGATGAAGAACCCGTCCTGGCGCGGCTATGTGTCGGGAATCGTGAATCGAGAGGGAGCCTCGCCTCCTCCGCTCGGACCCGTGTTACTTTGATGTGCCGATCAAGATGCCGCGATTAATTGTGCCCATTTTCCAATCGTGGCCTGGGGACCGACCTGGCGCCGTTGATAAGAAATATATAACTAACGTGGAGAAATTGACACGGCCTCGCGTACACGATGAAGGATAGAGACCAACGACGGAAATATTGTAGGTTGACCTGATAATTCGGTACTCCCTCGATCAGTCATTCTTATGGGCAAATATTTCAACTCCCCTTGGATAGGGTAGAGTTCTGTCAGCCGACCTAGCGGAAGAATTGTTTTTATTTCTTGATGAGTTTTCGAGTCCCCTTTCTGGTTCTGTGTTACTGGTTCTTGGTGATTTCAGAGATCTCCATCGAAACTTACTTGGTTATCTATGAGTTATCTGAAACCAAATGCTAGGTGTCCATTTAAGAGCAGAAGCATACTAGTGGACACTGACCCGGGAACAGGTCTTCTACGGCTTATCTGCAAGAGATGTCGCTTCTATTCTCGGGAATATAGTCAGGAAAATTTTACTCGTCTGTAAACGCAGACGTGAGAGATACTTTTGACAGTAACTTGTGTAAGGTACTCACGTACGGACATGAACTATATGTATTTCCTATCGAGAAGAAGTAAAAAAGAACTGGTTGTTCAGAGCAGTACTGGGAACATTGAATGTACGCTTCCACTAATGAGTACTAGGACACATATTGAAAGTTCTGAATCATTTAAGGTCCTAAATAAATAACGTTTGGTAACAGTGGATAAACTACATATATTCCAGTACGAAGCAACAAATGTGAAGAAAGGTACGTAATTTTTATGAAATATCAGGTTAACTAATGGAAGATGTCCTAGTAAGATATATAGAATTTTTATAGAAACATTATAGATGAACGAGAGTGTATAAATGTGATCGCGTAGAAATTTATACTATCAAGTTATCTACTCATCAACATTATCCCCTTCAAGATAGTTCTCTACGGACGCCACAAACCGCCGGAGACGTTGTTCCCACATCTAAAAACAGTGCTGGAAGTCTTCAATTGGCAGTGTCTTCAGTTGATTGATCACAGCCTTTCGCACATTGTTCAGTTTCTAAATAGTGACCTCGAGGTTGATTTTTTATTTTTGGAAAAAAAAAATAGTCACACGGATTTAGATCAAGGAGGGAAGGAGTCTGTGGTACCACTGGAATACCCTTTTTGGTCAAAAATTCGTTTAGAGAGCGTTTTCTTGGATGTTTCAATATGACAATGCTCACAGTCACACTGCACTTTCCACGAACCATTTTTTCTCGAATGAGTGTATATCTGTGGTTCTACAGCCCCTTACTTCTCCGATCTAAGTCCATCTGTCTTCTTGTTCCCAAAAATCAAAACTAATCTTCGTCCTGTGGACAATATCCAATATGTTGTGACAGACCAACCGAAAGCAGTTCCAAATGAAGACTTCCAGCGCTGTTTCAAGAAATGGGAAGAGCGATCTGTGGCTTCCCAAGGCAACTATCTGAAAGAGGATAATATTAAGTTGTACATAACTTGACAACACAAATTTCTACGCTATGAACCCTGTCACTTCTCTGACAGACCTTGTGAGTCCTCATAGAAAAACAATCTTACCACGATTGTGTCTACGTAAAAATAGTTTAGGTCTGAAATCACTAAAAGCTTACGTTTAAATGATTCTGCCTAGACGTGACGGACGAGTCCTGCGATGAGCCCCTGGAGTAATGCCTGGAGAACACCTCGGCGAGCCTGGACCTTCCCGAGCTCGTCGTGTTCGGCTTGGATTTATTCGACGGTGACTCGTCGGCCGTTTTCGCCAAATTTGGATTGCTGCTCTTGCGCTCCGGAAATACTAAATGCTCGATGTTTGGCGTGTATCCAGGATCGTTCCTGACGATATCCTGCAGGGTCACCCGGCCTCCGGCGCTCGGTCCTCCATTACTGAAACAGCCCTCGAAATGCAATTCCTTTTTCTGGCCAATTCTCGGCACCGCGCGACGATACGATCCCCCCCCCCCAAAACCTCCTGTTCCATTTCCCCTATTTGCAAGTAAAACGAAAGCGTGGAAAGTAACGTTCCAGAGACGGGAATAAAAAGTTTTTACCATCGAACTTTAATATTTATCGGTCGTTCCGACGGAGATGCGACCACAGTTCCCGTAGCGCGAAGAATCCTTTCGCGCGAGCAGAATTTTCGTTGAGGCACGTCGATGAAAGGTCGCTACCGACGGGAGAGCATAGGATAAAATGGGCGTTGGAACAAAAGGGCGGAGGGAACAAAGGGTGTGGGGCAGGGGACAGAAGGCAGATTGGAAAAATGCATCGCGAATGCAATGTCGCGCACGTCGACACGCGTGATGTCGGTTTAAAAGAGTTAATTATGCAAACCTCGGTGAAAGCAGCCACGGATAGCTTACTGTCTCCAACGGTATTTTTTTACCCCTCCGAGATTTTCTCTTCTTTACCGCGGCGATCCGTGAAAAGCGACGAAAAAAAAAGATGGGGGAAGGAAACGGTCGGCCTGTAATAAAAATGTCGCGGGCAGACTACGATCTATTGTAGACGACACGGTAACGAAGACGAATATGAGAACGCAACAAAGGAAAAATATACGTTACGTGGGTGAGATCGTTCCTCAATACGCCACGGTGTATTGTTTCATACTTTGTTATACTAGATTGGTAAATAACGCATATATAGCGCTTGCGGAATCCACGAAGGCGAAAAAAAGGAGAAATCGTGTCGATAAAATGTCCAGTTACGTATAGGTACAAACCGCGCTATTGTGCTGTTTTTCAATTTGGGTGGTGGTCAATGCTATGAAAATTAAATGGAAATTTAATAGCGACCGAAAAGAATAGAGTCGTATGCGTGTTCATCGAAAAATTAAAAATGCTTGCACTTTGTAAAGAAACGTTTTTTTAGTGTAGTTTGGGTTGTGTTGGAATTTGTATAACTAAAAAAGATGCAATTTATCGGTGGCGTGAAAATAACGTCGAAAATATAGAATTCAATTTTTCGTACTTGGATTGACCTTTTAGGAAATCGGTTTTGAATATTCATGGGACATGCATCATTTTAACTGGGTAGCGTGTCTGATCACTACGTATTGTTTCTACTTAAAAATGCTGACACTGATACTGTATATGTATTACTTGTTTCAAGTACTTTTTAGTATGCAGTAGGTATACCAATCAGAAATTCACTAATTTTTATAAAATTCTACATTTCAGAGAAAGAACTAAAACATTTCGTTATTCTCACTGACCAAGAAATCGGAAAGGTATTCTTATTTAAATTGTAAATACATCCTTACTATAAATTGTAATACATATCCTAACTTTAAATTGTAAGACAACCATAGTACATTTCTTATTACATGAATTTACATGAAATTAGTACTAAACCTAGATAATACAATAAGAGACTATATGAATACTAATTCAAATGCTACTTAATTACACGAATCGCGAAAAAATGTTAAAAAGCGTAACTTTTTATGAAAAAAAAGTTTACTCTACATTCTCTATGCGATTCTACGAAGCTGAACAACAGCGACAAACTTTAAGTTCATAAAAAGATAATGCGCAGTATGAACAACTTCTAATCCCTTCAGCAATTTAACAGAACTTCTGCCAGTGTACTACCACCCACAAGAGAAGGAACACGAGCATCCACGACGACAGGTTTCGGTCTTATAATTAAAAAACAGTTTTGTACGCTGACCTGGGTCCGAAGCCGTGAGACTGCCTCTGGCCTCGTCTTTTCCCGCTGCCACGGCCAGGCTTGATGTTTGTCACCTCGGCTAATTGCAGCAAACGGGTGCGATGCTGCCGCAACAGCGGGTCCTCCCTGCGATTCATTTTAACCGGTCCAAGCGGTACGCTGTCGTCCCTGCATCCTGCAATCGGAGCAAAAGGAAAAGGGATATACATAGAAGCGATATTTCACCCGCGAAAAAAGAGAATTCGCGATATTCGACGAAAATACGATGCTGGCGAGGGCGTAAAATTCATCGGGAAATTTTCAAATTTTTACCAAAAAAAAAACCGTGGCGTGGAAACAAAACATCGAACGAGCACATTAATCCGCTTTAATACACTCTCATCCCCTTCCCCTGACGCGAATGGACGGATACACTCTGCCAAATGCCAAATACACCCAGGATTTTTATTTCCCGGTAGTAACGAAACGAGGTCGCCTGGGGGAGAAATAGACAGCGGCGGATCGCTGTGTTTCTTTATGACTTTTACTGGCCGCGTTAATTTTCCGATCGTTTAATTTCTACACGGTGTTACCGAGAGCCGGTTAATCCAACGCGTCGGACGGCCTGCATCCTTGAAGTTTATTATTTTTTCTTTTATATCACGTGCTTGGACGGGGAATATCGGAGAACTTGGTAACTTCCGGAGGGGGGGGATGTAATTAATTCGGTGCTTTCGATATTGCTCCTGGCCTTCTTTGGAGGGAAAAAACTTAATTATCGGTTGACGCAAGTACTTTCCATCGATGGGATATTTTAATCAGTTTGATTATAGCCAGGCTTGTGATGAGATCGAACACGCGTACGAATCATGTGGAGCTGTATTATGTAACACGTTGATGACCACAGTGAAAAAAGTAGTATATAGTCAGACACACTTCATTTCGTTTTTTTAAGTCATAAATCTTCGGAAATATACGCGTTTAGTTAATAGAGGCTGTTTGGTCTTATTTTATACTATATTGTCATACTAATTCTACGCAAAAATGTTGTAAAGGTATTTAACCCTCTCCTGTCACACTGGGTGTGGTACACCCGTACGTTCTTCAATCGCTTATATCTCGGAATCAAATGCATGATTTTACACGTATTTTTTTATATCGATTCTCCAGACATCAAAGAAAAAGACTGTGTAGGTTAGAATATCGTAAATATGTTAGTATCATAGATATTTTGAAAATAAAGAACAAAAATTTTTGAAAAGTTCATAAAAATTCGTTTTTATTCTAATTGCTGTCGTTTTAGTTTAAAATAAATTACGAGGATTTAACAGTGTAGTAATCGAAACTTCTTGAATTGAATTTTTAGAAAAAATAGGTAGTTTAACGATTTGTTGGAAAAACTATAATTATTTTACAAAATGAAAATGAGTAAAATTTAACATTTACTAAAAGGCCGGAAAGATATTAAGTGATTATTAATATTTAATTTTAATGTAATTTACATTTAAATAATTCCTTAATTAATTTATTTTTCGTAGAAATGCTTAGTAAGTATTATTGCTATACTTAAAAGTAGAAAAATTATATTATTTCAATACTTTTGCACACTTTACTCTCGATAAGTCAATTTTATAATACATTTACAATAAAAATAATTAATTAAGTTATGTTCCACAGAAGTCAGCTTTTTAACGTTCTTGTCACACCCGGTATACCATACCAAAAGATAAACTTGCGATATTTATATCTTGGCTATACTCAGTGTGACAAGTGATGGTTAAATAATCCAGCCTCTTCGCAATGTATGTGTTACCTATATTTGGATGACGTGGCACTCAAAGTGTTAAAGACGAGGAATAATGTTCGGAGAAGGCGTTTTCGAGATCGTTACTCCGGTACACAACGATCTCTAAAGGTATCGGATCGTAATTATCCATCTGTGAATACTTCCCCCGTGGATGGTGTCCGTTCCGGAAGGGAATTTACTACTGACACCATCTTCCACTGTGCTTTTATTCCTCTTTGATGTGAGAATCGTGAAAAGAGTCTTGGCAAAGATTATCTAAAACGTGGCTTCCTGTTTTTTTTTCTCGTTTCACGCTAATAACTTGTGGCCTAGTGTTTCGCCATCGTGCTATTTCGTTTATGTCCCCTTCAAAAGGGGCAATTTCCATCGAACGCTGAGGAACATGAACTTCTTCCTGGTTTCGTACATAAAGTGTTCTTGGATAATGTCAATTTAAAATAAAATTGGAAAATTTACCTACGTGAACGATTGTTTTACTCGGTATTAGCCGAATTATCCGAAAACAATTCGATACGTTGCTCGGCTAATTAATCCAGGCAGCGGTTCGATATTCGATGGTTCGCCATAATGTATTTCATTATGTCAGATATCGATGAAAGTTTTCTCCCTGTGCTCGACCGTCTGAACGAAGAGTTTACGCAGGAACTAATCTACCGACGAAAATTTAATATAAATCCGGAACTATTTTTCGGAGGAATTCCAATCAACGGATATTAACGCGAAACCGATGGAACTATAATCGGTAAAAATTCGATTATCCAATCGTTAAAAGTGTAGACCCGTCCCTATTCGTTGATACTTTAATTCACATAATGTAGTTCACCACGTATCATGACGCAAAGAACGTGAAAAATTTCGCACACACCGGTAAAATTCAGCTATTTGGTAAATATTGAATGTCACGTTACGGTAGAAATCCACTTTAAATATTTGTAACGCGTAAAATGAGACCAATCACGATTTATAAATATTTTAACGCGAGGAGGCGAGTGACAATTTATATTTGAATTAACATTACGAAATATTTCACCGTGACATTAATTTTTTAAGCCCCACCACCCTCGCGAGTAAGCATTCATAAATTTCATAGGCATAACAAAAATTTTTTACCCAAAGGCGGAAAATTACGCGAACTCCGCGCCAAAACCCCGAAATAACGAATATCCGCTTACAAAATAAATGTCGTGACGGCGAATCAGATACGGAAGGCAAACGAGCTCACGAGTTTTCCGTAATTCCACTTTTGAAAAGATCGTCGGTGGCCCTACGCTTTTGAATTTCTCTGGTGGCACGCTCGGTACCTCGTTGCATTTTCAATATTGACATATCAGGGATCGAGTGGAACACACAGAAGCGACAGGGGTGAGTAATCAAACCGACCTCTCTTCGTCTTATCGTATTTGCATTATACTATGTGTTATCGATGTTATTGGAAACCGTCTTTGACGTCAATGCTGCATGCTCTGAATCGAATTTACATATGTATAACTTAAACAAAGAACCAAATTTTATATTCCCATGGTAACAATGTTGATGTAAAAATTCGAATATGCAACAAACATGAAATAAAATCGATGATACATCTCATGTTTCCTACAATTTCAATCCCGAATTGAATTAATTATTTCCCAGAGGAAGACGATTCGTTCTGCGAAACGTTAATCGTGTCTGCAATCGATTATTCGAATAATTATCGCTAATGTGTACAAGAAAATCTTACACAAACAACTAACAAAGATATACCGATTTAAGTAACTGCGAAATAAGGACGAACTAATTACTAGTTGGTAATCGAAGAATCGGATTTTGGACGGACAGTTAATTCGTCTGCCCGTTAAAATTGCACAAATGGACGCTGGTGCCTCGTGAACGAGTAGCAAATGGGAAAGCAAATCGTGCGGTCAGTGCTCTGATAAAAACGAGCGGATTTTCCTACGCTTCTCAGCGTTCGTGTTCGGCTTAGCCAGTCTATAAATTGCAAATTCTGATTGGGATTTACGAGCGGCGAGTATTGTACACTCTCAAAACGAAAACTACGCGTACCAAGTCGCTACTTCTGCCGGTGTGATCGGGATTTATAGTTGCTTGGTTAAGAAAAAAAAGAAGAAAAAAAAAAACGAAAACGGTCACGGATCGTCCTGACAATCCTGACTGTTCTGTATCGATCCTCGGCTGTTCGATGTCCTTCCATGGACTCGAGTACTTACGCTACCAATATCGAAGGGAGACTTTCGAATATATTTTGTAGATACATCGTCATAGATTCCTAATAATGATTCCAGAAGTATTTTATACAAGAAAAACTCACAGAACGATTAAACTTTCTGTAACTGTTAAAGCCTAGGAAGCATCTACACGCTGTGATGTAACCGTAACGAATTGCTATACAAACCAATTAATCAAGAAGATTGATTTCAATGATTGAAAGACGCAACGTGTTCTGCAAACCGTTTAAATGCAAAATTCAATGAAACCAATGAATGTTGTGCGCCATTAAAAAATCTCGGTAAGCGGGAACGGAACTAATTTTATTTACAGATATGTAATCCCGCTTTAACGACGAACATTCTACAGATTTATGAACAGTTCGAGGCGTTGCGACTTTACGACCAGAACCGCTATTATTATACATATAATCACGGTTCAGGAACAATAGAATGCGTTAAACCTTCACTTCGCTCACATTAACGTAGATCGCAAATGGCGACCACGGTATAATAAACTAAAGAATGACACTGAAGATACTTGTAAATTATTTAGTCTTTCGTGCATTGATAATTTGATTACAAAGAAAGGATAGTGAAATATTTATATTTGGATCGGTAAACGTATACTCACGTAGATTCATCAAACGGACATCTAGTGATCGGATTCATATAGGTAGGTATTTACAGTAAATCATCGATGAGTGTTCGAAGGCTCCTCGGCACTAACAGGAGAGGTCCCCAGATGTAACGCTGACTTTTCAATGAGGTTTAGCACAGTGACAGAGCTTGGAATTTTGAGGGTAATTATATTTGTTCCAGCCGCATATGGACATTAGTTTATATAATATTTAATATTCAGTGCCATGGAACCTTCGAACATTCATTGACGGTTTACTGTACTCTATTGAATCTATGTATCGTGATTCTATCCTAAACTACTGCGACATAGTAACTTGAATATCTTGAAGAACATGAATTTTTTTTCGTATTATCATAGGTTGTAAAAAACGGAGATAAATACATGTAATATTCCATTTTTTAGTATTTTTTCGATACATATTACGACTAGCTACTGTAACCAGTTATTACGAGTCGATGTATTACATACCAACCGAGCTCTCCTCATCCCCCTTCCTCTCGTTTCGTCGAACAATTAACCGCAATATTGGTCTGGATAGTAAC